TGTGCGCCTTCCCGAGAAACATGACACCCTCCCCCTTTTTGCACACGAATTCTAGCAGATGGGCCAACTGCGCGGGGTTCTGTTCCATGTCCTTGTAAACTTTGCGGTCACGGCCAGGTATGACCAGGKSCCATTCACAAGGCTCGAACGGCATCTCCGAGACRTCYGWCGGTGTGACTTTGACATGTGCCCCCACAGCAGCAGCATCACCCGCCTCCAACCTCGCRTCGTAAACCACAGATTTTTTTTCCCGCAAGTCGTCACCTTTGAAAAGRATGTACATGCGCTCGTCCACTGAGTACAAGTTGTTGCCGACCGCGAAGCTTTTCTTCTGTTGCGGCCTCCTCACCCACTTTCCTGCCATTGCCTTGACAACGGACAGATGGCACAGACTGGTCATGAAGTAGTAGTCGTGCTCCCGGGGGACGAAAGCATCGACCGTCCAGTGCGAAGGGAACAAATGTTGTAGAAGGGCATTCAAACTATCGAAAGCTTGTTGTGTTCATTGTATGATGTCCACAGACTCGCACAAATAAAAAACGGCAGTGTGGCATTTCGTGATCCCAACCGCTTTCTCCAACTCGACGACCTTCATCTGCTTCTCCAGAGGATCGACGTCGAAGGGGGCGATGGATGTCACATCCCCCAAGTCCTGCCACCTTTATGCACCATGCCTTCGGCGAGCGCGACAACCATGCTCTTTAACTTGCTGCCGGTCAGCACGGAAAGGACCTTGTTCTTCCAGTCGATGGACAACTTGTTGTTGATAACCAGTTTTTCCGTCGCCTTGGGGCCGTTGATCGACTTGTCGTCCTTGCAGCCCATGAACGGGGGACAGTCTCTGAACAACGATGAGTCTCCAACGAGTTTCCTGCTTCCGTCCCACAACGGTGCATCCAGTCCCTGACTTTTGAACTGCGCCAAAATCGCCTCTCTTTTCCGCAGGAAGGGACACGAACGCGTCCAGTCGGAGTCGGGCCGATTCTCATACTTGAACTGGTAGTAGTTCCATAACCGCACCAAGATGCGGTCGCACTTCACCAGATGCACTGCCTCTTGYATCCCCAKCTTCCCCTGCTTTGCCAACGCAGAGGAGCYGRTCTGCACCCACACCACCTCGCAGTTGAGAATCTTCTTCAGCAGCCGACATTTCTCATTGTCCGTGAGGGCTTCCATGCTTTTCCAGCAGTGCGGATCCGGCTCGTTGACTTGGACGAACCAGTCGCCGGATTCCTTTTCTTTTTTTCCTTTCTTCTAAGGCGCTTCGACGGGGATGTTGTAGACGACCTCCTTTCGCCCGGTCTTGTTATTCTCGATGTGGCTCACACCGGCCTTGACGCCCTTGACCTTCTTCTTCTTCTCGATCCACTTCGCCCCTTCGGGTGCCAGCAGTCTGCCCGTCTCCCATTTCTCGAAAAATTCCATTCCCATTTTCCACACGCTCTCCTCGGCCATCGCAAGCGGGAAATAAGATCGGAGGGCAGCGTTCTGCTTCCTTATGCCCTGCTCGGTCTTGTTGTCAGCGAGTGTCCACAAATGATTGTACAGCGTCTTTTGAAGCGCATCTTCACAAAACCGGCGCCAAGACTCCACCTGAGCCTGTTTCCCGCTCGGGTTCCCCATAACAACTCTGGGGTAACCCTTTTCCTTCCAGCACCAGCGGATGTCCTTCATCGACAGTTTCTGCTGTCTGGGAGGCGCCTTCAGGTCCTTCTTGTTATCCTCGGTGCTGACCAGAAAATACCCTTCAAAGTCCGCATTGGAGAAGTACACCATTCTCGTAGGCCACCTCTCGAAGTGGTACCTCACCGCCACGTCTGTGCCAAGAAGCGTCCTGGCGACGCCCGCGTTATGCTGGCCAGCAACAGCGTAGTAGTAGTACTGGTCCGCCAGCTCGTCCTTCCAGTCCTCGGGCTTCAGACGCTGTGCACGCACTCCCGGCTTCGGTTTCTCCAACCCCAACGGTGCCAGCTTCAGTATGGGCAGCTTGTAAGTCTTCGAGGCCTGCGAGTAGGCAGTCATCATCGCGTCGATGATCAGCTGTGTATGCACCGAATCCAACGAACAGTGTCGGGCGCCACAGTCCTGAACACAAAACGAAGGGGAAGCGACAACGTCGAAGAACGATCTGGCCAAGACATTGACGAAGTGTGGATACAGGCGGACTTCGGTATAAGCTCGAGATGTCTGGACGCATGGAAGGGGCGGTGGAGAAGTGGTCGGAGGCACGTTCTTGAAGAAATACGCCCAACATCCGTAATCAGAAGACGTCGGGGCTCGAGGACCTCGTATCGGAACGGAAGGAACGACAACGTCGCGGTACAAACCGAGGAAGTTCGGAGGCCGGCGAACTTCACAAATCGCCCATGACAACTGAGAAGCTCGCAAGGAGTGCGTACCGCCCGATCCCGGAGCACCTGCGCAGTCAATTGGCATTCAGCATCCCGAAGGACTGCCCGAACAACTGATAACCATTCGCACCCGGGGGGGGGCCTGGGGGGGGGGGTCTGTTTGTGGAGTGCGAAACTTTGTTCGACACGTACCCAGAGCCAACAAGACGGCCAGAAACGGAGGTGCCACAAAAGTGCGTTTGGCAGTCCGCAACGATTACCGCCGACTATTCGGCACACCTTGAAGGTGGTCGGGAAGCCTTTCGGCAGCGCGAGGCCTGTTCCGCTGAGGAGACCGGATTTTCTGGAATCCAGATCTTGGCGGACTTCGAGCGCCGCAGCTATCGAGGAACCCCCTCCAAACAGCACACATGTGTGGCCCGAAGAAGTCCGCCCGCATCTGAACTACGAAATCTGCCCTGATCCCGCTCTGCTGCTAAACTAATGGCGGTTGAGGGAAACCGACCTAGAACGATTGCGTAGATAATGACAGTCACGTGTTGTCGGTGGTGTTGCCAGTTTTGCCATCAGACCCTCACGTATTGTCGATGTGGGGCAAGTGCGGCTGTCCACCTGCACCCGAACTGCCACACTGCACCATCCTGTCTACAGTTGCATTGCACGGACACAGTCCAACAGCCCAACGATGCCGAAGGTCGTCACTGGAGCTCGGGTGCGGCGGGCCACGCGAGTGACTATCGGAAGACGAAGTTCGCCGGGCTCCGAACTTTAGCGGGGCTCGATTTGGAAAGGGACGGCATCAGAGACAAACGGCCCGTGAGTAAGTGGTTGTTGGACTGAACAAAAACCAGGGATTTTCATAATGAGTGCGCGGCACATCGTGGACTAGCAACTGGAGCCTCTCACACCTGTCAACACTACGTCACATCTGCCATTTTCGGCAGCGCACAAGCGTCTCACACTTTCTCGCTTAAACTCAAGGTCTAATTGCCCGTATAGACCCGGTGACATTCGGGGGTCCCCGGGGACGGGGTCGTGAACCGAAACCATACAACGCATTCATTGATGATCCGTACAAGCGGATCTGCGGTTCATCGACTGAGGCGCTCTCCGAAAAGACGGACATGTATTTCATCCTGTTGGAAACTCCYAGRAGTGCTAAGGAATTTCCTATACAGTCCCGTGTGTCAGACACTTTCTCTTCCACCTCAAGCCACAAAGAAAAGTTTTGGACCTGCCTTGCGATCGCCAAATCGGGCGACCTATCCACACGTTCGGGCCCTCGCGTGGTGTCGACAAGGTCGCCTCCATGACACACCCTACAGACCACGCGCACATACCAGACGACACACACGTGGCCACGGCCACACGTAGACGTCAAGTCCCGAACTGAAAATTCACGAGGTTCCACATGCCTGCACGCGCTGCCCACGCACAGGGTAAGCAGGCGGACTGCGAATGCACAACAAGGAAACACCCCGATCATTGAAGTTCAGATGCCAGCGGACTTCTCGAGTCGACCAACGACGCAGGACCGAGCACTTCGGCTGCATAGTTTTTGTCCTCAGAAGTCCGCCCGCATCCGCACTTCAGTGACCTCCCTATTCCTCACCCGAAAGTCGCCGACTGCCCTGCTCTGCTCCCAAGCATAAAACACGCGAATTTGAAGTTCGGATCCGGGCGGACTTCGTCGCTGAGCACCCGCAGGCGGTGCTCGAGCATTGGACAGCACAGAGCACTTGGGCTACAGAGTTTTTGTCCTCAGAAGTCCGCCCGCATCCGAACTGTAGTGACCTCCCTGTTCCTCATCCCAACATCGCCGACTGCCATGCTCTGCTTCCAAGCATAAAACACGCGAAGTTGAAGTTCGGATCGAGGCGGACTTCGTCGATGAGCACCCGCAGGCGGTGCTCGAGCATTGGGTAGAGAGCACTACAGTCATCGAAGTTAGGATTAGGACAGACTTCAACAGTAAGCACCCGCAGCTGGTGCTCGAGAATTGGAAACAGTGTAGACAACCACTAAAGATCGGATGCGGGCGGACTTCTCCAGCTGCCTCTGCTGGTGGCGCGCGAACATCGGATGAACGGTAAGCCGAACGCGAAAGTACGGATGCAGGCGGACTTCTTCAGTCGACCGCCTCAGAGAATACGTGGAGTTCGGATTCCGGCGAACTACTTCTTCCACCCGTCATGTGTCGCTCGTGGAGTACCCGGGTTCCATGTCGAACGAGGTTCGTTCGATTTTGAACAAGGTTCGATGTCGAACAAGGTTTGATGCCGGACAAAGTTCGATGTTGACCAAGGTTCGATATCGACCAGGGTTGGTTCGATATGCAACAAGGCTCAGTGCCGAACAAGGTTCAATGCCGAACAAAAGTTCATCTACAAAGAGATCGATGAGGATTCGGCATGAATGCTTGTTATCGATATCGAGTGTCGTGGTCTCCGGCCATGTGGTGGCGTTTATGTGCAGACACTAAGGGACATACACACACGATGAAGAGATAGGTTGTTTAATTCTTTCGACGCTATGTTGCTGCTGTCGGTTGTCGGGTTCCATATGACTATTCTCGTTTGGTCGAAAAGTCGAGGATGGTGATGATGCGAAACTGGTTGTGCGTGCCGCTTCGCTCACGTTTAGATCTATTGGACGATTGTCGCGCTCACCGTTCCTGATAACGAACTTGCTTGAAGGGTGCGTGCCGCTTCGATCACGTATAGATCTGAGATGATGACCGGCCATCCACTACCTAGGCTATCTATACATGCACGTGTGTGATCAGCACAAACGAAGCGGCTTGCACCCGTCGAAAAAGCTCATTATCGGTTAAGGTGAGCTCGACAATCGACCAATAAATCGCTTGGTTGTCACACACAACCTGTTTTCACATCATCGCCATTCGCGGGTTCTCGAGCAAACAAGTCATGCCCCATGACAAACGTGACAGCCGTGCGCAATCAGTCCACCGAACGACGCGCAATAATTTGTCGATTTTTCATTGGAAGGGTGCGCTGTTCGGTGAATTGATTGCTTGTATGAGTCGACTGTCCACCTATCAACTAAACGGGCCACCGCTTGCGTGATAAACGCGGCCGGTATGGCGCCGTGAAGCGTGCGAGGGTGGATCCATGGTATGGTTGGCCATGGATTCCATCAATGATTCCTTGGAGGAACCGCGTGGGTTCAACGCTGTCTGCCCACACACGACTTGAGACATCTACATACGCTCACACGATTCCACACATTGCAGGAACAAAAAAACAAGCACATACAGACGACGCGACTCCTGACACAAGCGAGCATGCACACACAAGGAATCAAATGCAGAAGACCGCTCGAACGTGCGCAGATCATGCGTTCAGACACAACGAATCCCACTTACACGAATCCCTCTACAACGAATCAGTCTTACACGAAATGTTTCGAGTTTTCACAAATGAGACGTTTTCATACATACACACACGAAATGTTTGCATTCACACGAAACGGATCGATTTCCAAACATTGCTACGAGACGTGCACAGTCACACATACGAATCCCTCTTACACAGAAGCCAGTACAACGAATCCATCTTACACGAATACCGGTACACGATGAAGATGTCGTCACACACATGGATCGTCTGTACACACGAAACGTGTACTCACCCCGCTGAAGATGTCGTCTGCAGAATGGATCGTTCGCAACGAAATCGCAATTACATTCGAGACTGCGTGTGGGTTCGCTGTTCAAAAGGCAGTGGACAAAGCGCGGAAGATGACGAGGGGCTGCGCATGAAGCGGGGCTGCATAGAAAGCGGCGCGGGAGGTGATCACCGTGGCCTTGGCGAGCGCGCGTGGGTTCGCTGTTCAAACAGCGGAGGTCAATGGCGCCGATCACCGTGCCGCATCGCTAGGGATGGACGACGTGGCGCTGCGCTGGGGATGGACGACGTGGCACTGCGCTGGGGTGGACGACGTGGCGCAACGCTGGGGATGGACAACGTGGCGCAGCGCTAAGGATGGGGTTCGCGATGGCGAGAGTGCAGGTGCGCAGTCCAACAGCATCTCCCCAACGGCACGCGAGTGTGCGAAATGAACAGTGGGGGGCCGGTTTCCATTTTCAGGCGCGCGACGGGCCTTCCGCGCAGAAGGGAAGGCCTTTTTCAAAATCGAAGTCGTGGCACCTGGTGGGGGGCGGGAACTTTTAACCCATTGGACCTGGAGGAAAAAGCAAGGGAGTCCGAGCATCGTTGGATTTGTCCAACCGACGACCAAGGTCTGTGCGCGCGTAGGACCTGCATGCGTCACGACGCGTGTGAGGGACGTAGCTGACAATCAGAAGGAAGCCTTTCCGGACGACACCAGGCGAGGGGGAGGGAGGGGGGGGGGGGGTTCGGATGGGTGGCATTTTCGCTGACGGGCAGGAGGACCATTGGACCGGCCACCAAACGAGACGGCAGTGGAAGCCCTGGGCAAACCTTCCGATTTGCGCATCGCAGTGCCATTTCGCGGCGGGGTGGTAGGGTGCCGTGAGGCGGAACGTCGCACCGAAGACCGACGAGCAGGGAGCTGCGAGAAAGCTCCCGCGCAAGTCGGCAGCCCGGTTCACCGTCCCATTCCCTGCCTTCAATCCTGCTTGATGACAACTCTGCTGCGCTGCGCCATCGTCGTCATCCACCCCAAGCTGCGCCGCGCCATCCCCATCCTCGGCGAACGATCTCCAAGGTACGTCGGCTTCCGTTAGGTGGCAATGTGGCGTCCGCAAACCGTCCCGCCACTCCACTCCCTGCCCCGTTCCCTGCGTGTGGCACAGAAGAGAGGGGGAGAGAGACAAAGAGCACGCGCGTGCGCGCGCGCGCGCGAGAGAGAGAGAGAGAGAGAGAGAGAGAG